TAGAGACAGAAAGCGAGAAATCACCCCCTGGGGGGATGGCCACGCCGCAATCCCTTCTCCTCCATTCTCCTCTCAGGATCTTGGGCACCCGCGCACATGCGCCCGGCGTGAGTTTTAAGCCACCGGGTCCTGGATGCGAACTGTGGTCGACTACGTGGGAGTCCAGTGACATAGTCATTGCGCTAACTGCTTGTTCCTGAGCATTTTTTCATATGATTTTTGGCTATTCATATGTCTTCCTTAGAGAGTTGTTTATTTAGCTAATTTTTCCATCTTTTAATTGGGTTAATCATTTTCTCCTGGGTAAGCTGCTTGAGTTCCTTGTGTATTCTAATTATCTGTCCCTTATCTGAGGCACAGTTAACAAAAATTTTCTCCCATTCTGAGGGTTGTCAATTCACACTAATTATGGTGTCCTTTGTTGTGCAGAAGCTCCTTAATGTGATGTAATCCCACCTGTCTATTTGGGGGATCATTGCCTGTGTTTTGGAGGTCTATGGCCATGCTGCAATCCCTTCTCCTCCATTCTCCTCTCAGGATCTTGGGCATGCCCGCACACGTCCCTGCCATGAGTTTAAGCCACTGGGTTTGGGACTTGAACTGTGGTTGACTACGTGGGAGTCCAGTGACATAACCATTACACTAACTGCTGGTCCCTCTCCCTCTATTTCTGGTGTGTGTACAGATCTTTTTTTTTTTTTTTTTTGGAGAGGTTTTCACTATAGGGTGCGTGCACTCACCAGAGAGAGACATAGAGACAGAAAGCGAGAAATCACCCCCTGGGGGGATGGTCATGCCACAATCCCTTCTCCTCCATTCTCCTCTCAGGATCTTGGGCACGCACGCACATGCGCCCAGCATGAGTTTTAAGCTACCGGGTCCGGGATGCGAACTGCGGTTGACTACGTGGGAGTCCAGCGACATAGCCATTACGCTAACTGCTGGTCCCCAAAGTTTATTTATTTTGTTGGCCCTGGAGCCTATTGGTTTAGGGAGTCAATTCCAACATGGTTGAATTGTTCCTGGGAGCTTGAAAAACCTACTGGGTATATGTTCATTTGTGGTCCAAGTCCCAACAGGATGCAGAAATGCAGAAGAAGGGATTGTAGCATGGCCAAACCCCATTGGAGGGTACTTTTCTCTCCTTCTCTCTGTCCCTCTGGCGAGAGCATGTGCACTCTGTCAATTAAAACACAAGTTTAGGTGATGGAAGAGCCGGCAAGACCCGCGCTGTCGCACAGGATCTCGAGTCTGAGTCCTTCTCTTACCTGTGGACTCCCCAGGATGTCAACCTCAGCCTCTCAAGGCCATGCATGGGCCCAACAGGTGAAGAAGGAAGATGAGGAAAGGGATCCACTGAACCAGCTCATCTCCCACTCTGGCTTTGCTGCCTCCCACTTTGCAGTGCAGGA